TATTCGCTATAAAATGGGTAGGTTAAGGTTTGGGGGTAGGTTAAGGGGTCTAAAAATCTAAATTGCGTATTAATAAAATGATAAAAATGCATATTCGCTATAAAATGGGTAGATTTAGGTTTGGGGGTAGCTTAGGGGGATAATTATAGTTTATCTACTATAAAAGATAGGCCTACGTAAATATTTGTACGTTTTTTAGCAAAAAATACGTAGCGATTTGTACGTTTTAAACGTTAAAATACGTCTCAGTTGTACGTTTTAGCGTTAATAAAAACGTACAAAAGTGTACGTTTTGTACTTGTAAATGTTACGTATTAATACCTACGTATAAACAATGAGACCAGGCTGGTAAATCATGACAGAATTTAGATTTTTGGGTGAACTAACAATACAGATGCAGCCTTTGATTTTCTCTTTATTAAAATGATGATATCATATAACTACCTTAAAACCATTAGTCCTCAGATTGTAACAGCAAGATCAGAAAATAATTGAAAAAATTTGTTTGGGATTTTTAAGAAGGTTATCATAGTATCCTAATCTATTTGTCTAATAAACCTGGAATGTTGTTGGCTCTTTGACAAATTACTGTTGCTCCTCATTGGATAAAAGCATCTGCTAAATGCATAAATGTAAATTTTTCAACACCAAGAAAACAAAATGTTTATTGCATGTGTAATATGCAAAATATGGTGATTTTATCAACACTGAGATTTCCTAACTGTAACATCATTTTAAAACCATCTTGTAACCTCAATTCATTCACTGTGTAAATATCAGGCATGCAGTGTCTGGAGATTCAAACTTATTGATCAAAAACAAACTTTCATTTCCTCAGTTTAGCCTGTTTCACCTTCCCTCCAAATGACTGTCTTCAGTCATGGGACTGTTTCATAGTTTAGTCAAGCTGTTTGGCTCTTTCACAGTGAACTGACTTGCTATGACATGATTCAGTCCTGCATATATTTGCAACGGAACGTAGAAAACAAAACTGATGAAGCATGAAGTCACACAAAGAAAGACAACCGCATTGCCCACGCAGTTGAAACAGGAAGTACAGCTCTTCATTTCAGCCTGTAAATGTTTATTTATATTAACCAGTGGGTTTCCTGCTGATAAATAAACACTTATTTTCCTTCCAGTCTACAAAAATGTTTTAGTGTCCATAAATAAAGACAATAAATAAGTTTACTTTTCTAAAAAAAAAATATATATATATATATATACTCTTCTATGTTCTCCATGACATTATTTGTGCAACACCACACAGCTCTTTCATCCTCAGGTCTCAGATCCATCTGTTTAGGTATCCAGTGACCTGGATCTTCAGTATCCGTTATTTTAATTATTTGAGTGAGCAATCACTCCATAATCTTTCCCACAATGCAGAGAGGTTTCAGAGATCAGGAACCGGCAGTTCAGGAATTCCTGTGTAAACTTTCATCACACTGAATCGCCAGGTGGGTTTGACTGATACAGGTCTGGATGAATGCTACGGACCTGTTCCTGGGTGGGTTTGAACTTTGCGGTCTTGCACATCTTGTTCCAGAGCAGACGAGGCACTGGGGGGCTGAGGATGATGAAGACCCAGGGGTCTATAATGGGGTTGGCCGATACTAAAAGAAGGGGTATGAGATTATTTTTGTGACGACGGTCGTAGGAAATGTTGAAGTACACTTGAATCTGTGGAGACAAGAGCACAGTGTGGAATTGTATGTTGTGCATAAACAATAAATCAAAAATTATGTATAAACATAAAAACATGCTCCCACTTTCCATTACAATGTTTATGTTATAGTGCAAACAATTTGTGAAGCTGCTAGAAATACGTTTCAAATAGTGTTTCTAATCCTTAATAAATGAAAACCTAACAAATTACTTTTTCTGACATGTCTGTCTTGATTAGAAATGCTGCCTGGTTCAACATAAACAATAAATCAAAAATTATGTATAAACATAAAAACATGCTCCCACTTTCCATTACAATGTTTATGTTATAGTGCAAACAATTTGTGAAGCTGCTAGAAATACGTTTCAAATAGTGTTTCTAATCCTTAATAAATGAAAACCTAACAAATTACTTTTTCTGACATTTCTGATTAGAAATGCTGCCTGGTTCAATATTTAGTCCAATGCAATGACATTTTTTAAACATTTTTAAGTGTGCCTTTGGTGTAAAAATACTTTTAAGGCCACTGTATATGGCAAGCCATTTAAATATTTATTTATCTCAACTAACTAGTATCAATTTTACATTACTAATACCTACTTTTAAGTCACTAGTAAGTAATCCAACAGTTACAAGTATCGTTTTCAATTCCTCCAAATATTCCTATTCAAGCACCCCTTCATTAGATACTAGTTTCTATTCCAATAGTGACTTGTATGTCATCAATGTAACTAGTACTAGTATTTATTAATTTCCTACTACTACTTATTAATTTGCTACTTATCACTAACTCAGTCGTGACAATAGCTATTTTATTGCTAACATGCATATTTGAATCTCTGCTTTACAATATACTTTTTTAACATGTGATGTTAAGTTATCAGTAGTTAAAATGTTACTAGTAACAATTAATACACACTAATACAGTACATGTCTACTCAATAGTAATATGAAAATGGGAATGGATACCAATGCCTATGGATTAAAACAAACAAACAACTATCTAAAACTTACTAGTCACTTACTAGTGGACTAGTTATGTGCAAAGAAAACATTTTTTTTTAGTATATAATGACTAGTGAATAATTTATAGATAAAGATAAGGGACTATAAAAGATGCTAGTCTTTATTGAAAAACCTACTAGTTAATTAAAATAAAATAATGTACGTCCAATTAACATAAAACCCTTTTGTTTTAGACTTTTTAATATTCTGTCTAGGGTCTACAGATGAAAAATAGCCTTTCGGCTAATTGGCTCATTTACAGTAATGTTCATTCATGTGAATTGCCCCTGTAAACAAATAAACTTCAACTTCAAAACACAGATTATAACTTTGAATAAATCTCTAATATGGACACTAGTGTCTTTGAACATACAGGAACAGGACAGTAGTCAACTCATGTACAAGTAACGTTTGAAAGGGTGTTTGACAAGTATGTAGCTGCCTTACCACATGCGGAAGAGAGCAGATAACGAATGCTATTGTCATGAACCCGAGCAGCACAAGATGTTCAACCTCCTTCGCGATGGACCGATGCCTCTTGTGTCCTCGCTGCCGTCGGACAGAGCTCCGGTGCGCCTTGCGTCTTCGGTACATGAGTGAAAGATGATAGATGACGGACGCATTGCACAAAACTGTACACACAATCATGATGAGCAAACAAGACGCGTAGATGATATTGAACACTTTGTGCTCTCTCTCAGACGGGTGCATGTCAATGAAGCACCACGTACCGGGACAGTACTGAACATATTTCCCAAACCCGAAGAAAGGTGTGGCACTGAAAAGAGCGCAAAACAGGTATATGAGAGCGATGGTGATGTACCCGCAGCGTTTACTCAAGCGCTTCTCGTAACAGTAAGGATGTCCTATGGAGAGCCAGCGCTCCACTGCCATGGAGAGAAGAATGGCGAGAGTGACCATACTGAAAAAAGTCATGGCGTATCCAAAGTGCCCGCAAACTAATCGGCTTTCACTCATCCCGATCAAAGATTCATTCCTCAAGTACGCGGTTAAAACAGCGCACAGCAGGTAAATGAGCGCGATGGCGATGTACCCGCAGCGTTTACTCATGCGCTTCTCGTAACAGTAAGGATGTCCGATGGAGAGCCAGCGCTCCACTGCCATGGAGAGAAGAATGGCGAGAGTGACCATACTGAAAAAAGTCATGGCGTATCCAAAGTGCCCGCAAACTAATCGGCTTTCACTCATCCCGATCAAAGATTCATTCCTCAAGTACGCGGTTAAAACCAGAGGACTGACGGAGAAAGTTCCCAGCAAATCTGTGAAGACCAAAGATGTGACGAGGACTTGGAACAAAGATGCGGGCTGTTTCCTCCGCCGTATTTCCAAGAGAATTAGGGCGACCACGTTCCCAAGGACACCGGCGGAAAACATAATCGCAGGTGTTGTAGGCGATCCACCAGAGACAGTGGGCTGCTCGTGGCAACTGACATTTCTAGGTTCTGACGCCATAAAACCTTTTTTTTTCTGTATTATCCAGATTGGGGTACTGTTGAATTTAAGGAAAACCACATATCATAGCAGAGAAGAATTAGGATCCATACTTATAGTGAAGCCGAACTTTTACGCACTGCTCTTAAACTTTCAAACGAGCGCAAGCAGAAAGTGAGGTGGAGTTTCTCAGCAGAGCGTGCTCTGATGTCAACAGCCAGTCACCACATCTAGACTTAAAATGCTATCAGAACACTGTGTATGTGTGTGTGTATATATATATATATATATATATTACAAACGACACATTATAGGCTATAATATAATATTTTAATTTTATTAATTGTATTGATGTATAGTACTTAATAATACATCACATACTATTTATTAGTAAAGTACATGCTATTTAAAAGTTATATAGAGTTTATTTAATGGGTATAAAATCTTGGTTTACAATCTGCATGGCATCATGACGCCTCCCTGTGGAGAATATTCAAGACACAGACGAGTTTTAGTAGAGACCAGGGTTGATATAGGGATTGATTGGACCAAGCCTGCATTATTTCACATTACAAAACATTAAAAGGTCAAAACCTGTAGAGGACAGTTTTTCACTTTTCTATGTCAAAGCAAATATTTGCTTGAACAAGCCTCCTGCTAAAAATATTATAAAAATTAAAATGAATAAATATTACAATTTCTAATAAAATGCACAACTTTAATTGGAAATGGGAACCATTTATATCAAAAACTTTCCATTTGACATAATTAATGAAAGAGTGTGTGCTCATATAGCATGTGTTCACCATGTGCTCATTTAGAAAGCAGCAATCAATTATCATCACAGTATCATCATGGCAATAATCCACTTCATCCTCAAATCAACCGGAGTTCCACAGGGATCATTACTGGGACCACTTTTATTCTCCCTTTACTTCATATTACAAGTAAAAGTTATCAAATCTAATGGCTTTCTCTATCATTCTCATGCAAATGATAGTTCATTAAATATCTGTTTCTGCCGTTTGACAAATGGGTTTCTTAGCATGTCTGGCGAGCATTTCTGTCTGAATTATATGCATTTATTGAAAACAGAGCAGCTGTTCATCCTAGCCAAGTCAAACCCTTTGCCAAGATCTTGTCATTTCAATAGACAAACTCAACCATCTCACCCAGACAGCCAAGAGCCTTGACAACGACCTGTTGTTTGCACCATACATACCACAGTCAATACATGCAGATTCTTCCTGCAGAAAATCCAGAACATTTGTAGAAAAACTGATGCCAGTGATGGACTCATATACTGACAGTTCATGAGCAGTAACCCATGCAACTACAGAAAAGTTTTTCAATGTATTTCAGTGACTGTATGATTTATATTTATTCATTTATGTATTAGAAATAAGGGATATTGTCTAGTGAACCGCTGGGACTGTGCTATTATTTTCTTACTTCAATAAAACGGAAACTCTTTATCTTAATTAAAGGAATGGGAATTAAAACATTGTCATCATTTAGTCATGTAATGGTCTCATTTGTAATCATGCAGTTTCAAACCTGTATATGCATTTATTTATTTATTTATTCTGAACACAAAATATTTTGAAGAATGTTAGTAACCAAACAGCTTGACTTTCATGGTCGACTTATATTGTACTTTGTACTACTACACCATACAATGTTTAGTGAGTAAATGATGATAGAGTTTTAATTTTTGGGTTGACTATATCCTTTTAATGGAGCTATAAGAAATTTCAGTGGTTTTGCTAGCTTTTATACTTAACTTCCCTTTCCGTTAGGGAGAGGGTTGGAGTTACAATAATGCTAATGTAAATGGTTTTTAGATTTCATGCGGTCATCTAGGGAACATTAAAATATTAGCCACTCAATTCAATTACACACAGCTAGTCATTCAATGATCATTGTGAGCCAAACCCAACACAATTACTGTACTTCTCGATCATTAGGATGCAAAATCATTGATCTAGCTCTGAAGACTAAATAACAACTATTGTTCAAAGTAGCTTTACAGAAAACAGTACATTCATAATAAGACATAAGGCATAAGATACTTTATTGTCATTGTACATGATACAATGAAATTTACTACAAAATTTAGAGTGGCAATCATTTTGTCTGAACCATTGGTGTCACCATATTTTGAATTGTAAAACTAATGACTGTTCTCGAACAGGTTTCCTCACCACTCAATTGTTAAAATGGCTCAACATGCTAAATTAAGAATGAATGATGAAAGAATCCTTAAAGGAGTGGTTCACCCAAAAATGAAAATTTGCTGAAAATGTACTCACCCTCAGGCCATCCAAGATGTAGATCAGTTTGTTTCTTCATCGGAACAGATTTGGAGAAATTTAGCCTGGGTGAATGGGTGCCATCAGAATGAGAGTCCAAACAGCTGATAAAAACATCACAATAATCCACAAGTAATCCACACGACTCCAGTCCATCAATTAACATCCTGTGAAGGGAAAATCTGCGTATTTATAAGAAACAAATCCATCATTGTGTCCTATATGAGACCAGGAATGAGTCCCCGGGAAACTATTTTGGTACTGTACATACTCCATGTTTGCAAAGCAATGCAGTACAAGAGATTAAATTAAAGTGAATTTAATTAAATTTTATAAAAAATACATTTCAGTAGCTTAGAAAAAAAAATTATCAAATAAGGCTCCTTTTCCAAAACCAAAAATATGAAAACAAGTCCCTATGTTCAGGAAAATGCTTGGAATTTAATAGTGTTCCTTTAACAGCTCTACAATTGTATGTAGGTCACAGCAGCATGATGTGGTAAAGTTCAAAATATATAAAGACAACATAACTTGCTCATTATTTTAAGCTTTGTCTGTGATGTCTGAAAGAAGTTTTTATGGAATTCCAAGGATTCCAACAATCCTGTAAGTGATCCATTTTTCTTGAAATCTAAGTACTTAAAGGAGTTCACCCAAAAATTTGAATTGGTGAACTGGGGCGGTGAACTGTCTCTTTCAAGCTAACATTTTATTTGATGGTCTCCAACGCACATCCTACTGACTATATGTAACTTTGCAAGTACATGTCAACTTATTCTACTAATCCTAACCCTAACAGTCTACTGTCTAATGACAGTTAGTTGACATGCAGTTGCAAATTAATGACAGTTAGTTAACATTTAGTTGCAAAGGTACTTATAGTTAGTAAAATGTCTAAAGTGGACTTTTGAAATGAAGTGTAACCCAGAGGAATATTTAAAATACAGATTGTTATTTGTTTGCACAAATGATTTTCTATTCAAATTTGATGAACATATGTGCATTGGATGCTTTGCACTCGCCTACCAAATCCCTCCCATAGACATTTTGGTAACTATGTGGATTGTGGTTAAGGCATCCTTTCATTTTAAGTGACCACATCGTCACATCTCATGAACTTCTTCCGGGACAATTATATTTAAGTGCTCCAGATCGAAGCTGCTCCCTCTCGAAATGAAGAACTGCTGCGTATTTGCTTTGCTTTTTGCAAATGTTTGTTTTATGAATGCGATTCAAAAGGACAAATTTTTCCCTTTTGGATTATCTGAAGGGGATTCAGTTCTTCAGGAAGGTGATGATGAAGTGTCTGAAGCCCTGAAGATAAAAAAGCCATTACAGTTCTACGACGTCCAGTTCAACATTCTTTATGTAAGCCATGGTTTTCTTTGCCTTTATCTTTGCCATTTTTTAAAAAGGTCAAATTGGAATATATCAAATTATTTCATCATTTGTATGTTGTAGCATGTGCAATAATCTCTATGTAAAAATGCATTTTTTTGTGCTGATTTTCTTATTGTACCTATACAAATAAAAATACATATATAAAATTAAGTATGCAACCAGGTTCATTGAGCATGTGAAGTCTGAAGCTTAAAATTTAATCTAATTTCTCAGGTTTCCACAAATGGGTTCTTGTCCCTTCAGCCTCCTCCTGAAGAGAGCCAGTATTTCAGAAACATGTTTCCTCTCAGCTTCTCTGCCATCGCTCCTTTCCTGACAGACATTAGTTCAGGACGGGGGAAAGGATCTGTGTTTTACCGTGTGGAGGAATCATTAGTTGTATTAAACCGGGCTTCTGAAATGGTGCAGCAGGGTTTTACCGGTTCTGAATTCAAGCCCAGCCACGCAGTCATCGCTACATGGGACAATATTGCATGTGAAGAGGAAGGGCTCCAGCTCCCATTTACATATTGTGTAACATTTTTTGTGTTTCTCCATCCTACTTTTTACCCACAATATAAATGTTTCAAATAAAGTAATAGATTTGTAAAACTATTCTTATCAATATTAAATTTGCTGTTCTTACCTACATGCAGGTAACCAGTTTCCAGGTTGTGTTGGCCGGCAATAAATCAGATACATATGCCTTGTTCCTGTATCCTGAGGATGAGCAGCAGATGTTAAATATCAGTCATAATCATACTAACATGTCAAATGGACATGCCAAACCTCAGGTTGGTTTTAATAGAGGTGATACATCTACCAAAGAAGAGCTCTTCTACAGTCTGTTTGGCTCTAATGAGACCAGCAAGAACCTCTATAAGTGAGTGCATGAAACGTTAATTTATACATTTATTATTGTTCATTGTTAAAGAAAGAAAGCATTTTAATTAATGCTACTTTCAACATTTACTAATACATTTTTTAAATCAAAAGTTGTTTACATGTTGATGCAGTGCAACTAACATGAACAAACAATGAATAATGGTATTTTTTATTAACTAACATTAACAGGAATTAATTAATGCTTAAAATACAGTGAATTGCTCATTGTTAGTTAATTCATTAGCTAATGTCGACAAACGAGACCTTACTCTAAAGTGTTTCCATCAATGCTGTAAAAGAATTGTTCATTGCTAGCTCATGTTAATGTTGACTAATTGAACTTTATAGTAAAGTGTTACTTACTGTACGCAACTCTCAGGGCTGGGAACACCGGGGTAAATGGACTATGGATTTTCCACATCGGATCCAGCCGGTTCCCATTCCAGAAGGTAGTCCCTGCTTCCTTTCCCAAGTCTGAATCTATGGGTTTTGGTAGTTTGCGCAGCACCACAGATGAAGATTTCTACATTACAGTAGAATCAAACACGCCTGCAGATAAGTCTGCTTCTAAGGCACAAATGGACATCCCAGCTTCACTTGTTCAACAGCCTTCAAAATCAAACCAAGAACTACTACTT